GATGAACATCATCGACTTACTAGCCACAAAAAACTGGGACTCTGCGCAATGCCTAACATACAGCACTGACCACTTTTAACGACTGCCTCTGGAAAGGTGGTTTTAGAACAGGCTCCCCTAAACAGGTGTCAAATACTACCGGCTCCATACAAACGACTCATTCACAACATAAACATTACAAACGAACCGAACAGAACGTCCTAACTTTATCGATGGATCGAAACAGACCAATCACTTAAGCCACTTAAGTCTTACAGCCAATAACATCACGGCAAAACTGACCAATCATTTTACACGAACTAAACTAAGAACATTCTACTGACAACAACTATTCAACACTTGACTCTGATGACGACTTCCGCACAGGTTGTCGAAACGTCAGTCACTACCACCGACAACAGTCGTTCTTAGGACTACATTCACCAGGACGATCACACCACACTTTCACATGTTACCCCCGGGTTCAAGCCATTTACTGAACAACTATTCACTTGACTCTGATGATGACTTCCGCACAGGTTGTCGAAACGTCACTCACTATCACCGAAAACAGTCTTTCTCAAGATTACACTCACTCGGACGATCACACTACACTTTCACATGTCACCTCCGGGTTCAAGCCATTTACTACATTTTATTTTATCTAGCTTTTGGTATGCGTTTTCAATTCCTGTTCTCTTCGAGGGTCTTTACTTCAGGAGAGAGTTTTAATATCTTTTCTTTATACTTAGTAGAAATTAAAGTAGCTTTGGAGACCCAAGCTTCCTTAAGTACTTTTTTTTTCTTTTGTCTCGAAGCCTTCCATAAGGGGGCAGGACGGTCCGTGATTAGGTAAATGCCTATACTCTTTCAGGCGTGCTTTCATCAACATCATTATTTACAAGGATTTGAAAGTGTGCTAGGTGGATCTAGAAAGAAGGCGTTTTGGATGCAATGGGTACAATATGGAAGAACTCTGCGTTAAAGTGGGCCCGCACCAACCACTCTGAAAAACACCGAGAAGTGTTCCGAAATGTCGACCAAGCAAGTATGTGTTCCTGATTGAATAACCGGCAAGTTTTCGGGCAATAAGCGAGAGAGTGTGATCTGTTACTCTGTCTGATCTTAATTATTGTGGTTGTTGCATTCATCGCTTCCGATCAGATTGTTCCCAGACCGTCCGACTGTATCTCAGACTGAACGTTCATGAAATGTCCTCTTATACTTTCAAGTTTTTTTATGACATCGAGATCGTGTTTAGACAGGAGGAAGTTTTGTTTTGTCTTAAATCTGACTTATGTTAGACTACGCCATGTAACTAATTTAGCTTAATTATCCCCGACCACAACTCTTTCACTTGGAGACACGCCCACCCTCCCCTCCCCGCTTCTTCGGTTGGCGAGACTGTCGAGACGTTAGGTGCACTGTGGGTAGCCTGTGTTAATTATTATGGCTGATGTTGGCTGCCTGTAGACTGTGTTTGAAAACAATAGCAAGTCATTAGTTTTACCAGCTACCTTACCAAGTTGTTCATTTGTAACAAAGCTTCTCACAGAGTTACGATGGGTAATTTCCTTATGAGCTTAATGTAAAAAAAAAAAAAACCGAATGATCCTCGTACGATTGCTGAAAAGATCAAAAATATGCAAAGATCGATATTTCCCATTTGATGTTGATCTTTTAATCAACTTGGATTTGTTGACCTCTATCCGAGAGAAATTAGGCGAATATGGCTTCTGCTGCAGAAGATGACGACGTATGTGAAGAGGAGGAAAATACGGTTGATGAAGAAGGAAATTCTGCAACTTTGAAAGAAGGTTTGACTCATTAGCCATCAATGATATTGTACGTACTGTTTACAATTGTGATATGTTTTCGAAAGAGAGGACACCAACTTTCATTTGACTCCAGATCCTTAAGGAATCCTCTAACAGTATTTATTTAAATGTGGAATTGGTTTCTTTCTTATATTTTAGGGTTAAAAAAGTCATCCTCTGACTCAAAGATCAAGAAATTGCGAAGGAAAATTTCTCAAGGACTGAGACTTTGTGAGTAATGTAATTATCCCTTAAACACCTTTTGATCTTGCAAATTATCGTTGACCTGAATTTAGACAGACTGCTTAGAACCAAGTAGTGTTACGTTGTATGAAGACTTGATCGTAATCGACTTGATCGCATTAATCGACTTGATCGCTCCTGCTAGGGCTTGTACATCACTGAATGTTTGATGATGAGATCAAAGATCAAATCGGAGAAAAGCTGTGAATAGGTAGCACTGGCTCACTGCAGACATCATATGGTTTTCTCCTACACACGCAAAAAGATGTTGCGCTCGAACCATTGTGATAATCTTGTTAAGCTTGTATGCAGTGAGTGAGAAATGTTAGCTGGGGTGGCAGGGTGGGGGAGGTTCCCTTATTAATAGGCTTTAGAGGGAAAGGTTAAGTGACACTTATGGGTGCCAAGCTTTTCTCACATTGCCACAAGTGTTGTTCCCTCAGGGCTCCATCCAGATACCAGCCTCTTAATAGAATTGGCTATGCTGAATAAATAGAATTCAATCTGCTTTTCTCTTCTCTGCAGTGGGTAACCCTTTGGTAATTTGTTAGGTTGCCTATACCCGTATTAATTGAGTAAACAATTATTGCACTCCAGAGTGGAGAGAGGAATTTAGATAGTCAGGTTTCTTACTAGAAGGCACAACACAATGTCTACATCCTTGACTGGACAGTATAGTATTGCCTAACTCACCACATGCTTAACATTCTTTTGAAGATTTGTTTCAATTATTTTTCACAAAATTTTGTAAGACCTGTTGTTAGGTACCTCAGCCAGGAATACATAATTAAGGGTCAGTTAGCAAGGAGTGTTGATTCACACTGGGTAACTCTTATTGGTTTTTCTGTGATGTAGGGTCAGGGTTCCATTTCATTAGAGGCACCCTAAAATCAATGAAATTCCCTCCCTTTAAAAGTGGAGTGGGACAGGGGGGGTGGGAACCTAGGTGGGAATAGAGATCTATCTGGAAGGGAAGGAGGAGCAGAAATTAATAAAGGCTGAAAAAAGGCAGGATAAAAGGGGTCAAATGGGATGCCTATTGAAGTCAGTTATGTGGTTGTAGTTGAATTTGTCAAAAATGACTCAAAAGTTGTAATAGTTTAAATTCTCTAGCAAACAAAGATCAACAAAGCAAGTCAGCTCAAATGTCATTAGAGGCCATTATTGATTAGCCTAATAGTATTTTGGTGCGGCAATGAAAAATCACTCTATAAAAGACTTCATTTCTGCAAACCTTTTGTTAAAATCAGAGAATCGTAAGGCTGCATAACACTGACCAGTGTATAAATGTATGTATGACTTTCCACAGCTAGTTGAGGTTTAATTTGATAACACTTTACCTTACCAGTAGTCCATTACTTAATGGCCCATTTCTAAATGGCATGATCCCAGTATATACCGGATTCGTAAATGCAAGTAAATACACACTTGAAACTGCAATAGCTATTAGACTGCAGTGGACTGAGACTTTAGTCTCTATGATAATCGTAAGATGTTAGAATCGATGGGCAAACTGTAATAACCAGGTCAGCAAAAACTAGCCTGTATAATAATTAAAATGTTCATCTTGAGAAAATTACCTCTCCTCCCTGAAAAAATACAACGTCAGAGAATGGTCAAGCATGACACATTTTGGCACAGCTTGCAAAACCAAGGTTTCTGATCTTTCTCATTAACCTGAAGATGGGAGTAATACAATGAAGGGTGGGAGTCAGGAGGCAGGGGAGCATTAAAATACGGGAGGCGGGATATATGTGGTACAGGAAGTAGGAAGCTGTGACTCCCTTGCCCCCCTCCCCCCCCCACCACTGGAAATGAGGACATTTCCCATCATATTATCATACTTAAAGTTTTGGAGGATATTGTCATTGCTTATGGTTGTCTAGAAACGCCACATTACTAAAAAGTTTATGGACCTACTTGCAGTTGCTTGTCACTGCATTCAGTTTGCCAATTTTTTTTTTGGTGGAGAGAGAAGTAATTTGGCTTTGTGAAATTAATTGCTTTGAATTCAATTTTTAGCATTTATTAAAGATGAAGATGGTGGACCAGGTATTCCTGTACAAAACAACAGGCATGCAGAGGTATGATCTCCCCAGCATTCAGTCTAAGTATGCAAAGACCTGCATTCATTGTTGATTAATTAGTAATATTAGTACATGGTCTGTCACTGACTGTTACAAATATCATTATGAAAGGTGGTTGTAATGATTATAGTAGGCTTCCTGCATTCTTTTAAAATCCAGCTTACTAACTAGCCTAAGGTGACACAAGTACAGGAAATGGATGATTGTCCTTGTCCAGTTTCTCATGACTCCATCCTGTCAGCCTAATATTATTAGGATGAAATTCAGTTCATCAATTCAAAGATTAAAGAACAGTGATGTGAGACAGAAATCAGTATTAATGACCTTTCTCTCTTTTAAACAGACTGATGATGTTTTCATGGATTCCAGCCCTTGTGGGAGATCAAACCATCCTGATATGAGACCAGCGGTGAGAAGGACAGTGTCAGACTCAATAGGCACTCGGCTGAGAAAGATCAGTTTTGAGATTGGTTATGGTAGAAGGCATTCCGATGAATTAACACCCGAGGAGTTAAAAGGCCTACCACAGGTATATGATAATAATGATGATCATTATCAGTGGGTTTTTAAAATGTTTGAAATGGTCTCTATTTCAAATATTTTTTCCTGTGAAAATCTCAGTTGTTTCCAGCAAGTCCTGTCGCATTAAAAAAGCCAAGAGCAAAAGAAATCAAAGGACTTTGATAGTGAAGGAATCAAGAACCTTAATTTAACATGCCAGTTGTTGCACACTTCAACTGAATTTTCATACTTTAGTGTTCCAACTATTCAAGGCAAAAAATGTATTTTTTAATCATGATAACATTTTTGGTTGATTCTTTTGTTTTGAAGCCCCTATCTCCTCCATTTGGTTGCCTTGATGCCTATCAAAAGCTAGAACAACTTGGAGAGGGCTCATATGCAACAGTGTTCAAGGGGATCTGCAGGTAAATGTTGAATCATTCCCATCTGATCTTATTAATTCAAGGGGTGATTTTGAAAATGATTGTCGTTCATGTGGGTGTAAAAGGCATAAAATTTATATTTTTATTATTTTACCACCAGAGTGTACTCACAGATCAAATTATCTACAGAACTTGTTTATAGCTGAGTTAACATCATCACTTTCTTTCAGTTGTTGTATGACAGGTTATTTATAAATGGGCAATAAAGTACAAATTTGTTCTTTAGGAAAGGCATGGATCAGAGAAATACACTTTCAAAATTATTTTGTGAGGCAAATATTTTGAATTCAGGAGTGTTGGTGTTTTGTAACACTTAGAATTGTCCTGAACAAGGAACTTTGTCTGTCTGTGATAGTAGCAGTCAGGTTCAAATGTTCAAATAGAAGTTCTCATTTGGTAACAATGATACTGTGATACATCATCTCTTATGTCAGCAAAATTACAAAAGGGTTGCAATATCCTTTCAAATCATACTAATTACTTCAAATAATTTAAACTTAAATTTATATAATGTACTTGCTTTGATATGATTGTACAGTCAATGCTGTGCATGATTATTTCAAATTATTTTTTTCTGTTGAGGACATCCACAGCTAACTCTGATCAAGAGAAATCTTTAACCCTAGTGCAAATAATAAAGTTGTGGCCCTCAAAGAGATCAGATTGCAAGAAGAAGAGGGAGCACCTTTTACGGCAATTAGAGAAGGTAACAACTTTAATACACAATTTTTTACAAAAGCTCCAAGAATCAAGAAAGGCTTTAATTGTTTTCACCCTTTCTTGCTCAAGAACTGATTTTAATCAGTAATTATTAAGAAAAATATCAGAACTGTGTTTCTCTATGGTAAAATGAGAGCTATTGTTGGAAAAATCGATCATTAATAATTTTCATTCAAATTGTCAAACTATTTTCTGATAAATTTTTACTTTGAGGGATAATTTGGGAAAAAGATTGCTGCTAATTGTTATTAGTCAATTTAAGTCCAGATATTCCGCTAATTGAATACAGCTGTCATGAACAGAGGTCCTCTTAAGGTGGCTGAACACAGTTTTTGATACCTGTGTTTCTTTCACCATTTTCTCTAAACCCTTGATCTCTCGGTCGCCAAAACTGGCAGCAAGCAAGTTAACAACACAAACTTTGCTCTTTTTATAGTTAAGCTGACATATGTGCCATTGCCATGGTGACATGAATAAATATAAACAGGCCTGTAAAATCAGTTTTGTTTATTTGTTTATAATTTGCATGCAATGAGCTTGTAGTGATACTCAGAAGTTAACACCATTTTGCTGACAATTTAACAGAGATCTTTGATTATCCCTTGTTGAAGGTTCACTCAATTATAATTTCTTTTGTTAAACATCAAATTTTTTCAATAATCCAGTTACTTATTTCCTAAAGTATTTTCGTGTCAAATTTCATAAAATTCTAATGAGTGGTTCTCAAGAAATAGGCATATTTCCAAGAAAGCAATTTCCCATTCAGTTGCAGTTTTTTTACTTACTACACATGGGCTGCATTTAACTGGTTTCTTTCGGTAACAATGAAAAAGCTGAGAATTGCTGAGTTCCTTGCACCATTAACTTTCTAACATGTCTTTGTAATAGAAGATTAAAGCCCTCAATACACTCCGCCAACCATAAAGAAAATTATCACAGATAGTGCGGATACATGTTGAATAAAGAAAATGACCGCTCTATGACGGCATGTTTGTTATTTGCAATCGTTGTGCTGAATTGCATCAGTAAAAGCGTGCCTGAAAACTGTGTTCAGCCACCTTAAACAGAGGATAAATAGCCAATAACCACTTTTTAAATTAATATTTAAAATTCTCTCTCTCAAATCACTATCTTGATAATGATTTTTCCACAAAAATTGATTGCAAAATGAATTTTGTGGTACCAAATGCATTTATTGAATAGATTGATATGTGGCCTACAAAATTATTTGTAACTCAATAATTTTTCTCCAAAAGTAACTCAGTAAGGTAAAAACAAGAGGTACTCACAGTCAACATTTACACTTATAATCACTGTAACTTTCATTCATGTAATATCAGAATCCTCCAAAACAATTTTATCAATGAAACATAGTTTTGAGTTTTACTTTAAATAAAATTTTGTTAATTCTTTGCTTGTCACATGAATTTTGACATTTCAGCTAATACATTTTACAAATGAAATCAAAGTGATTTGATGCCTAAAAGTTGCATTATACTCCTTGTGTCTAGCTAGAAAACGTATCTTATTTGACTTTAGTTTTTCGGTGGAGGAAAGGCAAGATTCACACATGCCATTTCAGCAAGCAAACAAGCAGACTTTCACAACTTCAAAACGTACATTTAAATTTACTTAAAATTTTACTTTCCTGGACATTTAAGACTTAGAAGGTAGTTCTTTGTCAATTAATTGTCATTGGAACAGAATTACACTTTCTGTTGTTATTTTTTGCACTGTTGCCAATAATAAATATGTTGAAGACATTCATCAAGCTAGAGTACAGTACATGCTAAAAAAAAAAGGATATAATGATAACATTAATTTTTTAGCAATTATTTTTTTATTCAAAGAAAAAATAACTATTGCCTGCAAAACTGGATTTTGTACCTTTTTGTTATAGGTGAAATGTTATCACAATCTTGAAGATTAAATGATCTTTACTATTAGGGATAGTCATTATTTGTATTTGTTTAATTATTATTTTTTAGCTTCTTTGTTAAAGCAGCTGAAGCATGCCAACATTGTAACACTTCATGACATTATTCACACCAAAGACACCCTTATGTTTGTGTTTGAGTTTTTGGTAAGTTTTACTGTTTGTTACAAACCTATCTCATCAGGGTTTCTTGCTGTATAACTGTTTTAGCTTGCTTATTTAAAAGCCAGAAATCCTCCACCTCCCACGTCTCACACAGGTATCCCCTTCAAAAGTGTTTCCTTGGCCCATTTTTCGTGAATGGTAGGCAAGATGTGTTGGACCACCCTTGTGTAATCACTTTTGTTTGCCCTTGCAATTTTAAACTGTACTTGATTGTTTTAAGTATTTATGATTTACTTGCTATTACAGGGGGGGTGGGACAGGTGTGTCACTGCCTCCCACTTCCTGTGCCACATTCTCCCACCTTTTGTACTCTTATGCTCCTTTGCCTCTGGACTTCTGCCTTTCTTTGTATTACTCCCGTTGTCAAGTTATTAAAAAGGATCAGAATCTTGGGGTTTTTTTTATTTTAAGATATCCCTAATGGGATTGTGGCATTTAGAAATGAAACTGAAAAGCCAAAAGGCAATGATAAGTGTTCAGTACTCCTTTCTAATTCCCTGTTTCTAGTTCCACTAATTGCATATCCATTGCAAGGAATTATAACATTTTCAAATTTTGTTCTCATTGTGATAGTGGCTTTATTATAGTTGGTAATAATATATCACATCCAAAAAACTGATTGGCTTCCCTGGGTGCATGAAATACTTGTATGCATAGACAAATGAAATTGTCAATATCCTGTTATCATAATTCTGCCCATGAATTGTTATTATTAATTGTTGTTTGGCTGGTTATCACATTATTTGATAATTCAGATTCAAAGGGGGCGTGCTCTCCCAGAAAAAAATTTTAATTTACGTTCTCGGAAATGCCATTTCCTGCATTTTTTGCAAGGTATTTTCAGTAAATAAATAGGAAGGAAAATGCATCAGTAAGTGGACATGGGTTATTTTCACCATCTCTAGTGTTATAGGTATAAGGTAGAGTGTTCTCAGATTTTAAAACCTTGGCTAGCTGCTGACAGTTGTACATACATTTATGCACAGGTATTATGTAGCTATATACTTGCTTTAAAGGCAAAAGGCATTTGCAGAAACTAAGTCTTCCATGGACTAATTTTTATTGCTGCACCAAAAAATACTGAGGCAGATTGATATAGCCTCCAAAGAAATTTGGCCCAACTCGCCATCCAACATCTTGCAACATGTTGCTACAGGGTTGCCAAACATACGTAACAATACGTATGATGCACGATCCTCGCATTAGAGAGCGCTATTTATGCAAGGATCGAGGATCGTGCATCACACGTATCTATTACCGCTCTTCAAAACACATGAACTTCATATATTCATTGTATACGTAACAATGTTGCAACATATGTTGGATAGAAATGTTGCATGTGTTAGGCCGAGCCTTGACAATTGTTTACTTGCTGGATGCAGAAAATTCGTGAAAAAAATTAAAAAAATTTGTACCATTTTGCACTTTAACACATTCATGGTGAAATCAATCCTTGCAATCTGATTGGCTCTTTGCAGGTGGATGTATTTGCAAATCACACTATTTTTTTCTTAAAGCAAATCTAATAAAGTAGTATTTAAAACAAAACAACCAATTAGATTTCAAGGCTTATTTAGGGTAGCCTATAAAATTACATGAAAATGAAAAACAACAGGCTAATCAACAGTATGTGGAAAATTTTGTAACTTTCATCTCCAGGACTTTTTTTTCTTTTGAGAATTAGATGGATAAATTCGAAATTACCATTAATTTTGACATTCATTTTGATATATAGACATTCATTTTGATATATATACTTCTGCATATTTGGACAGACTAGAATCTTGTATTTTTAAATTTTCAAATTTAAAATGGATGTATTAAAGTGATAAATTCACGTTTTAGTCTTGCCACCTTCCCCCCTCCCAATGTTTATACAGTGAGAAGTATTTTCCAAGAAAGTGATTATGTGATGCATTTTCTTTCTCGATCAGTGCTATATAAGAGATTTACAGTACATCTTATCTCTTAACAACTCTTTGTGTTATATTTAATCTAGTAAGCACCTATTTGTTAATGATTACTGACTGTGCAGTAAATTTTACTCTTTTAATGTTCTCCACTTTAGGACACAGATCTTAACACTTACCTTGAGAAGTATCCAAGAGGCATCCCTTCACATAATGTCAAGGTTTGGGTAAAACATAATTATTTGAGTGTGTATTTAAATTAATACCTTTGCTGTCCTGTTCTTTCCTACTGTCGTTTCATTTATTAACAGTGTTATGGTTGACATAAGGCATGTTTTAGTTATTCAGGAAGGAATAGAAACTAGATAAAACAGTTATAATGACTTTAAAAGTAAAGTGAAGCAGTGATCTTACTTCTAACACAGGTGGCAGAGCAGGTGGGGCATGGGGGCATTAAGCCCCCTGTAAACAAAAATCTGGGGGGCTCCCCCCCCACATTTTGATGCTGAAATCTTGCTAACACAGCATAAAATTAGGTCACTAATCAATTACCATTACTCAAAACTGTAGACTGCAAAGAGGTTTGCTTGTGCCAACAAACAAAGCGAAGGGAATTTTGGAAAATTTGAGTAGGTGTATGCACTGCTGCCTCTGTCTCAAGAAAGAAGGTCTGACAATGAGACAAAACATGAGAGTGCCTGTATGAGTTAAAATCTCATCCCTCATGGAGATTTGAAAAGCTCTTTGGTTAGGATATATGGCTGCACATGGTTACACATTTTATGAGGAGGTGTGGCTCATGTCCCTCCCATGAGAGCAAAGCAAATGAGAAATTTTCACGAAAAGACACAGTGAATAAGTGTCTACAAGGGGACATATATATTAAGTTTTTTGTACATTATATAGAGGAAGTATTAAGTCAAAGATAATTTTGAAAATATTTCACATGCCTGGAAATTGCTATCCCAAGTTGGAAGATCTCTCTTTGTGAAGATTTTTCTGGTAACAAACTAGACAATTCTTGACAATCTGTTTGCTCATTTGTACAAATCACTTTTTACACACAAAGTGGTTCTTAAGGTGAATGAAAAGATCTCTGAATTGTAAGTGATGATGATTATGAGATTTTGAAGAAAGCAAGCCACAGTCTTTCAAGGTGTCTCAGCTAAGGCTACAGTAGTCCAGTTTGTTTCTCTGAACTGGCAAGAATTGTTAATCAGTCTTTGTGCACTGGGATCATTTTCTTTAACCCATTAATAGCCGCAGCTTATGTGAAAAACTGTGTTTTGAAGCTAGTTGAGCAGATTTCAGGTCACTGTTGTAGTTTAAAAAGCTCAAACTTACCACAAGCCCATTCACAGCTTGTACACTCAACGGCCTTTCGATCCAAATGCAAAATGGTGGCCTGAAAATCTCAGGCAGGCGCAGAAAGCAAAATTTCGAGATCGTTTTTGGGTTGAAAAGTAATGCCCCACTTACAACTTTTACTTTTCTTCCGCCCTTTTTTTCCCTTTCCTTGCCTGAATTTTCTCGTCACTAGCTGGAAATTTAGTAGGCTTCGTTTTGGTCAATGGTGTAGAGATTTTTTAGGAAACTACTCATTATTTTCAAACCACATGCTCAGAAAGGTAGGTGGGTAATGGAACAAGATTTTTGTGCAGGTTTTCAGGTCAAAGTTACATGGTTTTTTTGGCTATTTCTCCAGTGTCCTTCCCTCAATTGCGCTCATTCTGGTATCGTTTATAAGATATTTTCAACCTGTTCAAGTACGTGCTCAAGGTCGTGCTCCAGTGTTAAAAGTGATGACGTCACAAGGTGTAGAAAGGGTGTGGTTCCACATGGGCGCTTACGGGCACACTGGACATCAATAGGTTAACTTGATGTGTAACTTATCAAGTTTATTGAGGATACTTTTACACCCAGAACTGTATCATAGCCAGTCTTAAAATAATTTACTTTTACATTTATGGGTTAGATATTCAATGATTTCTTGTGATTTTTGTTTAAGCGTAAATAGTGTTTTCTTTTGTTTTACTGCTAAACAGTATTTTGACAGACAGTCACAAATTTCGTTACACAGGTGTTATAACGTGAGAATGTTTGAAGCCCCAAACAGGACTGTCTGTTCATGGGCTAACAGTACCTACCATTATTAAAATTTGTTTTTTTCACTTCTGTTAGTATAGCACACTTTTTAAAACATAAATTATTAGTTTGAAGGAGAACAAAGCAGGCCAATCATCTTTCTGTTCTTGCTTTCAGCTGTTTTTGTTCCAACTATTAAGAGGATTGGCTTATATTCATGAGAGGAAAATTCTTCACAGGTGATGGAAAATGATAACAAGCAGTTACTGTCAGTAATAATAGTAAATTTTACAACATCATTGCATTGTACTTGATCATGATTGGGATGTAAATGTATTTTCTGACTTCAACATAAATAGTTTATCTCCTTATGAATCCTTATAAGAGTGCCGTCCATAATCCATGTTAGTTAGGGGCAATTTGTGGAATGTACCCCTCTAATGGTTGGGAAAGTCAGGAGAATGCTGATTGTTGTAATAGTGGGAAGAATCTGATGTGGCTTCTTAGCTTATTCAGATGAAAGGTTATTACCAATGTCTTGGTAATTTTAAAGGAATCAGTTAACTAAGGATTTTGGTATCTCTTAAATGAAGATTATACATCTTTTGATGTTTTATAGGGACTTAAAACCTCAGAACCTGTTGATAAATGAGGGTGGAGAGTTAAAGCTGGCTGACTTTGGTGAGTGCAATGATATTATTTGTATTGTTTGAAACATCCCTCTTGTCAATTCAGGTTTCAAAGCAAAATGTCACAAATATAGTACTGTTGATGAAGTTTTTGGGAAAGAATTAATAACATAGTAAGATATTTTTTCACTGACTCAGAGAAATAACAGAGTTGTTTATAATTCATGTTGAATGAGGTGAATACTAAAAAGTGCAATTCTCCTTTTTGCATCTTTGGAAATATAATTCCACTTTCATAATGTCTAGTATCTTTGGTAGTTTAATTGATTAATTTATCCAGATTATTGCATTTCCATAGTGCTGTTTGTTTATATTTTAAAGCTTGTTTTTTTAGGAAGGTGGCTTATAAATGGAGAGGGAATTATTTTTAACAACTTTATTTGTGTAGGTTTGGCACGAGCCAAGTCTGTTCCCAGCCATACATATTCACATGAAGTGGTCACACTATGGTAAGGAAAACGTTTTCCTGCACCATAAAGAATTAAACTTCATGTGACACATACTAATTTACCTTTCAAATTATTATACTTAAGCCTTAAGTTCGTTTCCATTGTTTTTGCATCATTTTTGGTGAGACACAAGGCTGTATCCTTTATACAGGTTCACTTTTGGGTTATCCACAAAAGGAGATGGAATATGGATGATAGAAAAGAGAGAGAGCGATCTAAGACATTTGCATGATTGCCATCTTGTTATTTCCTGACATCCGGAAAGGCTCCTTTTTTGATTCTCATGTGATTGTTTGATTTTGATATATTTTCAGGACTAAATCTTTTCATTTGTTCAAAGTTAATCCAGGCTGCTGTAAACATGCGTTATTAACCAAGCGTGAGGTCAAGGTGGCTGGATATTGACCAGGTTCTTTTTTCGCATTTTTGTGAAGCGAGACGAAGTCTCGGGCCATAAAAATGCGAAAAAAGAACGAGGCCAATATCCAGCCATCTTGACCCCACGCTTGGTTAATAACGGGTCTAATTATTTATTTAATGAGTACTCCGTGAGACATTGCATTTTTAAAATGCTTTTGTTTGCTCTTCTGTTTAACTACTTTCTATGCCTAACTAGGCTAGATCTATCTATGCAAACATTCTTGATTTCACAAACGTAACAAAAGATATTCAATTTTTGCATTGCAAAGAAATAAGTACTATTATCATGGTATTATCACTATTATCAAAGCCGTTTTTATCATGATTACTAATGTTACAAAGAGTGTTACTGTCAGAGCTACTACAAAAACTGATAGATAATTGGCGAGATTTTATCGGAAAGGCAGACACATGGACAAATTATCAGATATCAACCATTACTTACTGTACATGCGATTGACTAATCTACAGGTATCGACCTCCTGATGTTCTACTTGGATCAAAAGATTATACTACCTCCTTAGATATCTGGTGAGACTGATGGCTATTAAGGGTTACCGGTCACTCGACAACTCGCCTCGCATTGAGCTCCCTAAGCTCAAGGCTAAAAAGAGGGTTGACCAATACTGTCGATGAGTTGGCCATAGGTGTCGGTGAGTTGACATGTCGGCGAGATGACCGGGTACCCTATTAAGATAACGGTAACATAAGAAATACACGTCCAAGTTTCATTGCAGTGTTTAATCCGGCTGAATTTTTTTTTACTGTTTGTTCTAGGGGTGCTGGGTGTATTTTTGTAGAGATGATGACAGGAATTGCGTTGTTTCCTGGAATGAGAGATTCTGTTGATCAACTCAATAAAATCTGGCAGGTAGAGTTAACAATTTCTTTCAAACTTCTTTTAAAACTGAGACATAACAACACTGAAGATAGAAAGTTAAAATTGTCGTCATTGTCATTTAAGTATTTCGTTAAAAAATATTTCTAATCTAAAATAATTATATATAATTTGGTTGTATCAACTAAGTTGAAACTGTAAATTGGCCACCGTAAAGAGTTAAAAAGCTGACGTTTTGAACGTCAGCCCTTCGTCAGAGCGTCATTCGTCTTATTTGATGCGGTGAAATTGACTCAGTAGCGAGGCCTTTCCCCAAAAGTATTAGTTTTTAAGCCCTCCCCCCCCCCTCCCCCATCCCATTGTCGCTTCTATCTCCAAGTCAAAAGTGGCCGGTTGAATAAACTACCACGAGCTTCTTAACGTTAACTCGCCCTATTAAGACGCCTGCATTGCCGGCAACATGAAGATCTGATTGTGTCTCTAAAGGGGGTAAGTTTCTAAAGAAACTGTGGTGCTGCGTCGGTGGGGATACCAAAGTAATTTGGTTTTATCAAGTAAGTTCAAATTGTAAATTGGCCACCGTAAAGAGTTAAAAAGCTGACGTTTCGAGCGTTAGCCCTTTGTTAGAGTGAATGACGAAGGGCTAACGCTCGACATGTCAGCTTTTAACTCTTTACGTTGACCAATTTACAATCAAGAACACGTCAGCCCTTTAACTCTCTACGCTGGCCAATTTAAATCAAGAAATGGTCTGATAATTAACAATTATTTGCCGAAGGCGAGTTGAATATCGTCGAATAATCTCCGAGACGAAGTTGAGGGGATTATTCCACAATATTCACCGAACCTGAGGCGAATAACTTTTTTAGTATAATTTCAGAGCTGAACAACAGAGAAATTTCTAAAATCGTAACATTTTGGTAACATTTATTAACATTTTATTTTAACATTTTATATAAACCGCGTGTAGCGGGTTATATAGCGTCATGTAAGGAACCGCTCGACCAATCAGATTGCTGGAAACTCTTTGCTCAGCTCTGAAATTATACTAATTACCGATATTCATGGCTATCTTTGCACCTTTGATCCCCGTTATAAAGCTCGTAACTATGATCCGAACAACTATAATATAAGTTTTAAACACAAACAGGACTACTGTAGAAAATCTTTTTTGGTAGGACTGCAGGACTGTGGAATACTCTTCCACCCAATATGAAACGTACAATCTCGCTCTTAACATTTAAATCTAAATTAAATAAACTATATTTTTCTAAACTCGTCTAATACAGTCCTCCAACTTAGTACTTTATAACTTAAATTGACTTGCCTTTTTTTGTAAACAGATTCTAGCCTTTTTATTGTGTCTTTTTTATCGTATTATAGGGGTTAGGTCTCAATTGGGACGAAAGCTCTGTTCCTCTCCCCTGCCACTCCACTTTATTTTCTCTTTTCTCGTAACTGTGTAATGTAGATTAGTTGTTTGTATTTGTTGAACCGTGGCGAATAAATTAATTAAATAAATAAAGTAATAAGGTTCAACTTAGTTGATAAAACCAAATTGATTGTGTCTGTTCTGTATCGTGTCCTCTAGATATCTGGAACAGCTACTGAAGAAACTTGGCCCGGAGTTACCAGATTACCTGAATATGATGCAGGTGACTCTGGATTGTACCTACAGTGATATTCTAATGTCTAACTTTCCAAAACAAAAGTAAACGATTCAAGTAGAAAAATACGTCTAATGCCAAGTTACATTTAAGCTACGTTTGTAGAAACAACTCATAGTATTTTATGCACTTTCGATATCGCCCTACTTTTTAAACAGAACGAGGAAGCTATTCCACGTCCATGGACCCCAACATTGAGTGTGATGTGTTCTTTTAGTGAATCTTACGATTTGAGTTAGTGTGCGAAAGCTTCTGGTTGTGATAATGTTCTCCGTCATGTCGGTCAATTGCTGTTTTGTAGTAGAGGGCCTTCCAGAAATAGGATTAGAAATAGCTACATTGGCTGAAAAGCCGTTTGTCGGTCAGCAGGATTAATTCCCTAAGTTACATGTTGAAATTTTTTTTCCAAAGTAACACGTCTAATAATTTTGGTTAGCCCTTGCAATGTAACAAAATAGCGACTTCTGTCATGGCCGGCCCCAGGCCGTAGCTCGTTATCAAGGCCTCTTTATTGTAATAGGTACGCGAAAAACATTTTTCACAAGACAAAAGAATTGGGCGTAGAAGAGGTTCAGTATATTATTTCAGTGTCTTTTGACGTAAGTTTGGATCCAGGGTAGAGTATGAGATGGTTACATTGCCTTCCAATTACATCACATAATTTGAAATCATAGATAATTTGAAATCATAACACTGAGTTATTACAGCCTAGACAAAACGGATGAACTTTAGGTCTCGGATCTTATTCATAGTTAAATTTATTTTGCCCAAATTAGTAGTTTATGAGGAAACTTAAAAATTACGTCAGCACTCATACTCGGCGCACAGTCATGTTACCAATATTTCCCTTTATTGTCCCAAGAAAGGTTTTGTGCTCGAAATATTAGCTAATTGAACTTGCCATTGAGATTCATTTACCTTAACTCGGTAATTGATGTATCTCCTCATTATGCAGCTCTCATACGTTTTTCTATACAAAAATAAATGTAATTATATATTCCTCGGCCAGTGGTTTGATTTTTTTTCCTTAAAACTAACTTCTACCCCTTTCCATGTTCAGGATGTCTGTATAGATTATACTGAGAATATTTATTTTAAAGATGTTGATGTATGCCATTTTAAATATTTGGCCCGTAATAACCTGTTTTTTTTTCCCTTCCTTTTAGATCTGTTTGTTGATTTTCCGCCTCAGCGGCTTGGACTAGTAGCCCCAAAGTGAGTTGTGAAATCATTAGAATGTTATGAACATTCAGTTTGATACTAACTCATAGCTTTAAAAGAGAAGCTCTTCGTCTTTTTTCATCTCGAAATTGAAAGGAAAACGAAAATCAGTTCGTTGTAGCGGGGAAATCGAGTTACCTGATGTTAAATGGCTGAAACAATGTTCTACAAGGGAAATGTTTGAAGTGCTACGGTTAGTTAGCGATGAGTCCAAGTTAAACGAGTTCCAGTCAGCTATGGTTAATGTAATTAAGTTTATTTATTGATGTCATGACTGCAATGCTTTTTTTCGGCCTTAGATTGTTGCTTTTAAGTGGTGCTGAATCTCTGGCCACCGAAATGGTTCAGGTAAATACTGACGTAAAAAGCTTCTGAGGCACAAGACGTTAAAGATAAATTAATTATGCAACTAGGATGGGAAGACACACTCTTTTTTGTGATGTCTTTTTTTAGTCATTGGACTGGGAAGCTGTTTAAAACTAAAAAAGCGCTACAAGGATGGGCAACGGTAAAGAGTTCAGTGAGGCGATGTCAGAGAATGGAAAAATCCAACTTTCGAGTCAAAAGGGTTACATTTCTCCTTCACCGATGGTGGCTAGCGAAAGCTTTCCAATAGCAGACTGTTGTATTCCATTGTGTCAATGTTTGCGTTGATTGGCCTTTTTTCGCACTGCCTCCAGCAATAACTGGTGATCATCCGCCTGAAACACTAAAAGTATATCACCGAGTGAGAAAGTGCAAATTTTAGAAGTGCCGCAGTGCTTACTACCCCAACGCGACAGCTACACGTAGGATTTTGTTACTGTCAGGAGATATCGAAGTAAATCCTGGCTGGGAAAGTGGACTGAAGACATTTGACCATACTCACATCTCTAACAACCAGCGATCACTCAGTTCCACTCCACCTGTTAATTCAAATATTCCTTTGCACATTTCTGAGAGAAGGTATTCCACCTATTTGGGTCGGAACCAACACCAATCACCAACAGTAACAAATCAAGCGTGTACCTTTCAATAAGTCCTCAAATACGCCATTTTCTCTGTGTCTACTTAACTCGCGTTCTGTTAGAAACAAGTCAGTGGCCTTTTACGATTATATTTGCTAGTGTAAAGCTGACCTGGTGGCTGTTACACAGACTTGGTTAAGTTGTTGTGATGATGCAGTCCAAGCAGACCTTTGTCCGGATGGATATAAGCTATTGGATCATGTACGTGATTGTCGTCAAAGCGTTGGTACAGCGCTATTGTTCAGGGACTCGCTGAGGGTCAACAAAGTGGGTGGTGGTGCTAAAATGTCATTTGAGTTTTCAGAATGGACCATCCAAGCTGGCTTCCTCCCCCGATCTCCGGTTGGTTATAGTAACTCGACCACAGTGTGATTCTGATGATCACAGGATCCTCATTACCCGTTTTTTAACTATTTTACTGACTATCTAGAATCGGTAATACTCCTGCATCTATTAATTAGTTAATTTGGTTAGGCAGGGACGTTAAAGAACTCACTCACGAGATTACTGGGATGTGGTCTGGCCTGTTTACTGGGAATTTGGGGGAAGGGGGCATCTTCAATTAAGTCTCCTTCGATTGATTGTAAACTGCTGATGCAGTCCGGCCAAAGTCCCCCGAAAAGTGTTGTGATGCGCATTTGATCATATCCAAATGTTAATTTGCGTAATATAAATATTAAATTAAAATTAAATTAAAAAAAATTAAATACTCTGTAAAGAACAGCTGATGATCGTCTGTGACTTTAATATGCATGTCGATGTGGATGTACTTAGCGATAGTGACTCAACCAAATTTCGAGAGCTGTTTGAATCTTTCTGTCTACAACAGCATGTGGTGGGCCCAACCCATATTCATGGTCACACCCTTGACTTAATCATCACCCGCCAGTCCGATCAGATTGTAAGATGCACACCTCGAGTCGACTGCTATTTCTCTGATCATGCACCAGTGCTGTGTCATCTTCATTCAATCAAGCCTTCTTTCTCCACCAGGACTCTCTCGTATAGGAAAATAAAATCAGTTAACGTGGATTCCCCAAATGATGACCTGGCTAAGTCTGAGCTAAGCAAGTATCCACCAGACGACCTCAAGGAACTTGTTTTCTTACAACAAAACCCTAAAAGCATGCCCCTGGGAAGACTCGAACGATTGTTGTGCTTCCGCTACTTCCATGGTACACAGACGAAATCAGACAAGCTAAGAGTGAGGGACGGAAAGTTGAATGAGGATGGAGGTTGTCAAAACTTGACTCCGACTAGGCTGTCTTCAAAGTTAAGCGCAATGCTGTCAACAGTCTTATGAACATGGCGCGACAGGCGTTTTACGCTAACTTTATCGAGGATAACAGCTGTAATCAACAAAAGTTGTTTTGTTCTAGTAAACGCCTGTTTAATCAGTCGCAAGGCGATGAGTTACCTCCGAATCTGCACGCCCCCACTTTTGCAAACGAAGCAGGAAAATACTTTGTCTCAAAGATTGATACAATCCAGAGACAAACCGATGCTGCTATTATGCATTTACCTGATGATTCTGCTCAGTGGACTCCATCGTCATCTGCATTTAAGATCCTGTCTGCCAACAGTGTTAAATCGCTTATTCGTAACTCACCATTGAAGTTCTTGCCCACTCGACCCAATGCCCTCTCGCTTGTTAAGCAGATGTGATGCTCTTCTCTCAGTCATTACTGCAATCATTAATAAATCATTAGAAGCCGGACTCTTTCTTTCCCGAGTCCTGGAAGGAGGCACTAGTTTGTCTGTTACTCAAAAAGCCTGGCCTTGATATCATATTCAAGAATTACAGACTGGTAAGCAATTTAGCTTTCTTATCGAAGCTCAGTGAGAAAGCAGTCTTCCACCAGATACACGAACACATGGTTGACATGAGCCTATAACCGAACGCTCAATCAGCTTACAGGGTAAATCATAGCGCTGAAACAGCCCTCCTGAAAGTTAAGAATGACATCCTGCTCAATATGAATAAACAACATGTTACTCCTCTAGTGCTACTCGATCTTATTGCTGCTTTCGATATAGTCGAGCATAATATCTTGCTGGAGGCACTCAATACGCTGGGACTTAGGGGCAGGGTGTCCAAGTTGTTCCAATCGTATTTATAAGGGCGCAGTCAGAAGATATTACTTCGGGGGTGTCTGTCGGAGAAGTTTGATTTGAACTGCGGAGTTCCTCAAAGCTTCTTTTTAGGACCGCTCTTGTTTACCATCCATATGAGCTCGTTACTAGTTGTCGTCGAAAAATATCTTCCATCTGTCCACTGCTATCCAGACGACATCCAACTATACGTCTCTTTCAACCCCGCAGATGAGACAGGTCACTTGGATGCTTTTGCTGCTATTGAGTGTTGTATTAAGGCGATCAGGTGGTGGATGCGTGAGAATAAACTATTGTTGAACAAGGAAAAAACTGAGTTTCTCTTAATTGGACACAGTAAAGTTGGAAAAGTAAATATAACTCCGCGCTCTCCTGTTAAAAACCTTGGAGTCTGGTTTGACTCAAACCTATTTATGATTGATCATATCTCCAAGACTTGTCCTGCAGCGTTTTATTATCTTTATAACTTTAGAAGATTTAGAAATTATCAAGCTAAAGAATGCACGGAGACGCTTTTACATGCGTTTATATCTAGCCGCCTGGACTTTTGTAACAGCCACCTATTTGGAGTTCCTGAATGCCATCTACACAAATTACAGAGTCCAGAATGCAGCTGCACGCCTCATATTCCAGGAGAGCAAATTTTGTCACATCACACCTCTGCTCAAGTCATTTCACTGGCTGCCTGTAAAATATCGTGTAGCTTTTACAATTATCTTTATTACTTTTAAAGGAATACATGGTCCTGCCCCGGCCTACATAAGCGAGCTGATTTCTGTTAGAGACTGATTTATGTTCCAATGACGGCTTACTCCTTGCAAGGGCAGAACACGCCACGCTCGGCGATCGTTCTTTCCATGCAGCCGCCCCTAAATTATGAAACGATCTTCCGGGTTCTATAAGAAATATACAATCTTTTAATCCTCTGATTGTAACTTTTATATTTCTACATCTTTTTTAGTGAAAATTTTTATTTTTTATTTTTTAGTATCTATGTAGAGTTGAATTTTTAACATTTAATCATAATTCGCAGTTGAAAATTTTTATATTGATAATTGTGCAAAATAAGTCAATAAATTATTATTATTAAGAAGCAAGACAGTGGCTGCACACGGTTAAACACAGTGATACATTTGTAGCTGTCCTTCCAAATTCATTAACAATATGACACTATCACGTTGAATTCGTTCTGTTCTCTTTTGGAAATGAGAAGAAGACGGTTATAGAACCAAAAGAGAATCTGAATGGATTTCAGGAAGCCCTGACTTCTTATTTTAATTTTTATAGTTCCTTACATTAAGCTCCTCGTTAAGTTAGCCGCCTATCCTCGTTAAACTGTTACTTTATGTTGGGAATTATGTAAGTCTTAGTCGGTGGTATGAAAGAGAGAGAGTGATGACATGGTGTTTATCAATTATGTGCCTTATTTTCCTGTAAGTGTGGCCAGCAAACCTTCTTTTGGATTGTGTGCGTTGAGGTTGCAAAAGAACTCATTTCCCATTCGGGCAACCCAACGGCATTTGACTGTCTTTTGTTCCCCGGATATGACTTAGAAGAAAATGTGCATAAGTATTGTAGAAGGATGCTAACAGACGAAAAACCCAACAGTGGTACCAAAACCTGATACGTGACTTTGTTCAATTCTACAACATTCGTTGATCACGCAAGGAATCGTTCTGTAAAAATTTTGCCTGAACGTAGTTTGCATGAACGTAGTTTTGGCCGGGGGGGGGGTGGAGGCTTGAACGAACCAATTAAAGTTCAAAGCCCGCAGGGGAGCTCCCCCGGGAGATGTTGAAGTTTCTAATTGATCGACGCATTAAGACTTTTCTCGCAATCTGGTTGCATACCACTCAAGTAATAACAGTCTGATTAAGACTGGATATACTAACCAATTAGGGTAAAATTATGATTTAATCAGGAGCTATGTTTTGTTCTTAGTGTGACCCAAGGAACAGGATATCTGCCAGTGACGCCATGAAACACGTATACTTCAGTGATTTACCCAAGGAAATCCGCTCTCTACCCGACGGTAATGTTTTTTTTTTTATGTTTGTAGGAATCGCTTTCTACTTTCAAGAAAGTAGATAAGTCCCAACATGTATTTTTTATCGCTACGAAAAGTTAAGAGTTAAGAGCGATTGTTTGTTGGGCGAGCTATAACACCATATCTCGCTTTGCTTTCTTCAATCATGTTTAAGGTATCCTGTCATTGAAAGGTGATTCGTCTCTAATGTTCATGATATTGATCGTCTTGGGCCTCGATATGATATTAATCGTATATGATGTTAATGATATTAATCGTAGTAGTCCTCTCTGATCCTGTCAATTTAGAGCAGCGTGAGTGGAGCAGAAGCCGCGCGAGGGCGTAAGCCTTCGGATGACTACCGCGTGGTTCGCACTTCTCCCGTCTGGACGCCTAGACGTGTGAAGTGGTTTAAATCTTTGTTAAATTACGGAAATTCCAACAAATGTATAAATGAACTGTGTCACTACCGACGTATGGACAAACAATCCATGGATTATTGAATAGTCTGGTCTCTTAGGGGTTGAAACTTCATCTGTTTGTGGCCCAGGGGCCCTGGATAAGTTAGTTCTGTTAACAAGTCCGAAGCGAAACTTGCTGCCCAGCTAAGACTAAGTTGAAGGTTCTGTGACGTTCCTAATAGAATTAAAGGAGGAGATTAAGTACCCCTTTATGAAAAGCAAGTTTAGAACAAGTGTTTTTTTCTGCTTTTCTCGCTCTTCGCAGAGTCGTCGATATTCACAGTAACAAGTGTTGAGCTTTACAAGGATGTCGACTAAAACGTGAGTGATGATGAGATATCAAGTACTTGTGTACTTGTTGTAGTTATTAGATTCCGGAAAATCTGACTGTTCGGTTTTGCTTTTAACTCGTGATTGCAATAAGTTCTTGGTAGGAAAAGTTATTTGTCGGTCAGAAAGTCATGAACTTGCCACTCTCAGTATTGCCAGGAGAATGGTGACGTTGCAAGCCTTCGACGCTAGAATGTTCGTAGTTTTCGTTTGCTTTACCAACTAGCTGAACACCATTCTGATCGTTGCTCCCGGTGGAATGCTTGTATCTTTCATTTCGTCCTTTTTTCGCTGCGTATACTGTTCCTGAGAAAAGACATGAACTGGAGATTTGACAATAAGCTTTTCCAAGTGGCACCCTGGCTTCCATATTTGGCGAGCACTGACTCATGTAAGTGTCACTGTGGGAGGGAATAGTTAGTCGTTTTCTGGCTAGATTATTGAGTGGTGCAGGTTAGTGTGCAACTGGAATTGAAGAGACTGTTGATTGCCTGTCGTTTATTGCAGTGGTTGCATCATCTCTTCAAGTCTTGAAAAGAGAGCAGAACAGTGATATTGTTGGTCAATATCAGCTCAGCACAAAGAGCAGACAAGGATAATTTATCTTCTAGTTATTTATTAAAATTCGGTTCCAGTTGTGCGAGCATCAGTGTTGTTGTACTATATTTATCTATTTGAGTTTATAGGTCATAATGTAAATAGTTCTAACATTTCTAAGAATTTTTAGAGTAATATATGGTCTCTGGTTGGACAGTACATTGAGTAAATTAAGGAGTTAATGTCAAATGCCTTAATTTACAGGAGCTGTTGCATCAACTTTGAAAAGAAAAGGAAACGAATTTTTGAAGAAAGGATATTTTCTCGCGTTTTCCAAATATTTAATTTTTTGTTGTCGTTGCTTTTCCTTCCTGCACGCAGCATGCAAGTGACCCAGGCTGTTTGTGACAATCAAAAAGCGTCAGAGAGAGGCCAACCGTTAGTTTTCTTGTGTAATTTTGCTATTTATGTTAACAGGAGCCAATCTTGGAAAGGTTAGGTTCTTGCATGGTGTGAAATTTTACTTGCTCGCTGGTAAATTAGTGTCACAACAGTGTAAAGCCATTTAAAGGCTATTTTTATTGAACTTTTGTAAAGTCAAGCAAGTGGCTCTTGTATTTTAGTAAGAAGTTGGATTTGGGGTTGTGTAATTTCAGTTGCCATAAGTAAGTATTATTTATCAATTAAACACAAAACCAAACCATTGTTGTGCTGAATCTTTGCATTCAGAAAGAAAAGGCCGTCGGTAGAGTCCTTACCGCTTCTTTCAGGGACGTATTTGAAAACCCAAAACTCTTTACTGAAGAACGCGTCAAGAGAAGTGAGTGCGAAACATGTAAATGCACTCAGCACCTTAGAAGTAGAAGTACCTGCACTGATGACCAAATATGATCGCTCTACTCGGAAACGGCATGCTTTACCGTTATCAACCGCATAGGCGTACGAAATACCTTGTTCTCCGGTGGCTCCCTCGATGTGGTTGGATGACTGGAGTTTCAAACGAAATACCCATCATATNCCCACCCCAATTTCCTCCCATACTTTCTTCAAAGGCAAGGGAAACCTGTTGCCATTGCTACTTGATTCATATATACGTCCTTTTTTTCTAAGCCTTAACCAAAGCGGAATCAGTTCAGGAGAAGACTGTCCTTCCCGTTGAGTAACAGAGTTCCTTCATGTGCATCATCTGTTCTTTTAATTTTGTTCTGCGAGTGGCAAATTATGCCTTTTTTTTGTTTGGTTTTGGTTTTTTTTTTTTTTTACTTCAAAGCTGTTAATTGGTGGAGCGCCGTTAAAAAGAACAATAAGCTGTCTCAGGTGGGAATAAATTAATAGGTAAATTATTATAAACACCACGGTTAAGACTATGGCAACCGCTTGCTCAACAATCGTTCGAGGAAGGAACAGGATAAACTTCGCGTTGAGTTGGATTTCTCATGGCAATATGGCATGAATTGTTTGGTGGTAGGATGTTTTCACTTCTTAGTCAAGGATATGGCACATATGATGGAAAAGCTAAAAAAGACGCTCAAGAAACCCGCGAACACAAGGTAAACCGTTCAGTCACTGATCATTTGTATGCAGTTTGTGTTGTTCCATCGCGCGGGCCACCTGATCTTCTAAATACAAGGCTTCAGTGATGTTTATGTTTTCATTTTGTGGTCAGTAACATATCAGTGGCTTTTTGAATTTTGACCAGAAAGAGTTTTGGTTATGATACAGCTTTCACGCTTGAAAGCCCTGCTATCTTTTGCCGCATTCTGATCAGCAAATTAATCCCTCCTGCTAGTGTCCCTTAATTGATATAATCCTACAAAGTTACGCTAGTGTGATGTTCAGCCAAGGGTAAGGGTCCCTATTGGCAAGTTTATTTTATACTTTAATCAGTTATCATACATAAAGTTGTCTGAACGTTAGAGAAAAAGAAATCTCACCGACACTCAAAGCTGTTGTAGAATTGTTGTTTGTTAACACCTTACTCTCCAAAAAGTCACTTGATTTCTGATTCCACTCGTGCTTGGGATTCTGTAGGAGTTTTAGTAGAGGCGCCGCAAATATGTATTCTGCGGAATATAATATTGAAGGCACGTATGTTGTTTCAGAATACACACGAATGATGAATGGGACAGGAGCGATGGAATATCTTTTCCAGCAACGAGTAATCGTGATCACTTAAGTCAGAAGCAAACGTGTCTTTCTTCGATACCGGACTCATAACTGCCTTTTGTCGTGGCACCAAAATTATAGTGATATAATTTACGAAATAAATTCAGCATAATCCCAACCGTTTTGAAAACTTAGTACTTAGACATATATAGATGTACGAAAAGACTGTATACAGACATTTCTCCTTTTTACCATCAGGTATATATGCTTTCACTTTACATTTACCGTTTTTATTTAATGAATCACCCTGGGTAATTATTAAATTTATGGACCTTGTGAGGGGGTGCCTTTTGAGGAGGGCTGTTATCTGAGGCTGGGAACTTATTAAATTTTCACTATTTACAGGGAGTAGTAAGTTTATTTTGCAACAAGACACTATCGAAAAGCAAAACGTGAAGAATTGTGCCATATAGACTGTGGATAATACCAATAAGTAATGACAAGTGACAAAATGTGACGATATGCCATGGACAATAAATTTAGAGATTGTGAGTCAGTGAAGAAATGTTAATCCTGTTGTACAAAACAATTTTTTTTTGGGGGGGGGGTGCTTATTTACTTTTATTACATAAAGTAGGGTGTTTTACAAGGATTTCCAGCCTTGTGAAAAGCTGTATAACCACACATATGTAAAATAACAATCATTTTTCATGTGTGGTTGATATTGCCAATCAGCTGCTGACATATCACTTGCCTTTTGCACTGCACTGTCAGGTTGATAAATGATCATGGCAAAGCCTTCATCATTCTCAATCCAAGGTTGTTTTTCAAAATTTTTTCACATCATGGCTGCTCACAATACTGAATAATTTGTATCATTTCTGTACAGTGATGTTTCAAATGTCTTAGAAGTGGAATTAAACCAAAATACTAAAAGAAGGACTGAAAGCTTTGTGACTTCAGTAATGGCATTTCTTGCAGCTGAGAGTGAAAAATGACAACTGCAAGTTTTTCCAAAGGCCAACTTTGACTGTGTACCTGAGGAGGTTCTTTCTGTCAATAGGGAAACATTGGTAACAGAGAATTTTGTGAACTGCAATTTACACCCATTGAGGACACTTGCAGAAACATTCCATATCTACACACCCCCATGTAATATTCTCTGTCTCCTGCCTACAGGGTAGGGACTTATTTGAGGTGGGCTCTTATTTGAGGGTGGGCACTATAATCAAATAAGCACAGGAACTAATAAAATCATAACTTTGATTCAATGAAAAAACATACTGGAGATTTACCATTAACCTTCTGCATACTATATGTAAAAATTAAGCACAGTATTTTCTTTTGTGGTCAGTTGGATTATTCTTTGTGACTTCTTTTCATAAGCTCTCAGATGAATGGTTTTCAATTGTGACAAAGAACTTCTCTATTAAAATACCCATTAAAAGTGAATACATGGAATTGTGACATTTGGAATGAATAAGTTTGATTCATGGTCTCTTAGCTAATGAATGCGGAAAAATTTTCTCAAACAGATTTTTTAGTGAACGGTGCTTTAAATGGGGGTTATCAAATCTTTGGTAAAGTTTGCTGTGGAAAATATGCAACCATTTTAAAGGTATCACAAGGAAACCATTATGATAATGATTGATAATTTTATACCCATAAAGTTTACCTTTCCTGGAATAGTGTCAATCCTTTTGATTGTAAGAAGTTCTCTGCTAATCATTAGGGACCTTACGCAATCAGGACAAGGAAGACTTCGATTAAAAAATGAATTTCTACTCCTAGTTAGAATTTCAAAAATGGTTGCAGGAGCTTACTGTCTTATACGGCACCACAGCTCAACTTCAGCATGACGTATAAAAGTAGCGTTGAGTTCCAAATGGAAATTAAAATAATTTGCCATCGCGGTTTCGGTTCGCAGATGACGCAATTTTTGGCGATTTCACGTTGTTGTTTTGCATAGGAGGGCTAAGAAATGTACAAAGTTTCAAAAAGCACTTGCTCAGCTATTGTTCTGCCAATTAGATTTCTTGTTTTTCCACGTCCTCGTTGCCGGTGCCGTCGTGGTTGCGTAAGGTCCCTATTAAAACAGTGGTGTAATGTGTTGGAATTTAATGTAGAGAGTATGTCTCTTTAAGGTACAACAGAAGGAAAACTAGTGTTTTCATTCAAACTGAAATAGCTTGGAAATTAGTCGTGCCCCATAAAAGAGAACATTTTCTTAAGTCTTAATCAACACTGATTTCAGATATTTTATTCATTTTTATAATAATTTTGACCATTTAACAAAATGGGACCTTTTCTTTAAAGGTGAGAAGTTGTACAAGATAAGTTATTTGATGTTACATGTAAGTCAACACTTTGTTTTCGATCAGAACATGTTCTACATGAACTTAAAATGTTTGTTTGGGATTTGTATTTTAACACTTCATTTTTTTTCGATAATTTTTTAACTTTTAAGTGGCCCTTTTGAGCAAGGTTTTCAATGTAGACATTTGGTCTCAAAAAGTAAGAAAAAGTACAACGATTCCAGACACACCTTTTAGGTTCATTATATTTCTGACATCTTCTCCAAAAATCATAGAAAAGGACTGAATAGCGGCCAAGAACAAACTCAGGCCAAAACGCTGTACAAGAAAAAGCAGTGTTGCAGGTCGTCATGTGTTTGTGTACATAAAAACTTTTCCATTTCCCTCCTGTGAGGGCTGTTAGCCAATCATTGGAGCATTAAGCCATCAATTTCATTAACAGTGCTATGCATGTTGGTGGTGATCTGTGCCAGAATAGAGATGGTGGACACAATTTGTAAGGAGTAAGGATGTTGAGAAGATCAAGTTTGAATACATGATTGGATAAATCTGTAGCTTTTTGTATGATATGGAATTCTCTTTAACCAGTAAGGGACAATACCATAAAAGATGGGGAAAAGGGTCAGTCAAAGGAAGGAGAGTTAAAAGACAGAACAGAGTATTTCAATGATCATGGCTAACAGCGCAATATTATTATTATAAGTGAAATGAGGTGAGATGAGGTGAGATTTTTGGCCAACTAATGCCTTTAGCAACTTTGATTGAAAGACTCTCACTGGCCACTGCATCCATTGAATGTAAAAAGGACCCCTACACTATGAGTCAACAATGTTCCTGCTCCGATGTAAATTGCAAAATTTAATTTTCTTTTTCCGGCATCAGCAAGAGATACTGGTACATTTGTTGCTTTAGAACATTGACAGCTTGATAGAGTTACACTTGAATTGCAAGAACAATTTCTCTAGCTTTTGAAAGTTAAAAAAAACTGTACAAAACTCTTCAGTATGTCATTGTAATTCAATAAATTGGTTTTGTAATCGTTAATTAGGTGATGAGAAGAAGTTGACTTGAAGTTCTGTCATAATCTTGCACCTTCCATTCTATTCTCAATGATTTTTTGCTTTATATCTTCTGAACTAAAAAATAAGCCAAAATGAAATTTGAGAAATAAATAGATCTTCATTTTCTTTACTAGAACTGAAAATTATTATTTATTTCCCTTCCATGATGCCTAAAGGAGTACTTCTCTCTGGAGGATCTTCACCTACCACCAATTGGATCTAACTACCAAGCCCTGGCCCAAAGAGATACTGGTGAATATTACTCAGGACCAAGATATGAAAACAAGCCTTTTACACTACCAAAAGTGGAAGACACAAGGCACAATCTAAGAAATGTTCCAAAAACATACACCACTAGAAAAGGAGCATTGCTTCTGTATGCTGAGGATTTCTTTATACCAGGATCACCAAAACCAAGAAAGCGCAGACGGAAGTTTAAAAAGCAGCCAACCATGAAGCTCAAAACAATTGGTGATTTGAGGAATTCCATATTGGACTACAGGAATGGGGTATGTCACACCCTTTTCTGGTTTATAGTTTTTCTTACTGATGGCAGACACCAATTTGAGGGCTCCTGGTTAGATATGGCCTTGATATCAATTGGCCTTCTGATAAGTTATTACAAACAAATTGTTTAATAGTGCTCAGCAATAAGTTGTGACAGAAGTTAAACCAAATTGAATTTTGAAATTAACTTTTAACATCTTTATGTCTCCTTATTTATGTGTCACATTATCTACCATCATCAAAGGGCCATTTAAACAACTAGACTGTTGACACATCTCTGAGCCTGCTCTAAGATCAAAGCATAGACACTATGGTTTTTCTACTGAACCAGTCTTCTTGGCATATGAAACATTAAAATTTTTTTTACAGTCATATTGAATAAGCAAAATTTTGACCAGCAGGTAATAAACAAGTCATGATTATGATTGTGGCATGAGCACCCTCAAGTTAGCCTGAAAAACTTAAGGCTATGATGGAACTCAAACTAGTACCTCCCACGTATTAAAATCTAATTTAGCTCATTTATCTGTGACCATGTTCCTTTATGGAAACCAAAAAGGATATGAATTTTGTCTTGCTTCTAACATGTGGCTTTGTGGCTTAGTTGGTAGTAGCACCCAACTGAATTGAATCCCATTGGGGCATGATTTTTTCAGGATTGTTTTTCTGCCATTACTTTAATTGCAGCACACTTGTGAATATGATTATTATCTTCACTAGTACAATTTTGGGTTTGGTAAGATAAGTCACTAATCTTCATTTTAGTCCTTGGACTACATGAGTCATTTTCCATTTATGGGCATGATGATGATGATGATATTAAGAGCAAATGTGCCCAAAAATTGAACATTTTTTTCAAAATATGGTGGCAACAGCCAAAAATCGATTCTGCTCACATTTTCAAGTTAGGTTGCCCTAAGAGTGAAACAAACCACTGCATACTTCGCTCCGACGAAGGGCTAATGCTCGAAACGTCAGCTTTTGTAATCATTAGGGTGGCTAATTTACCATTTCAACTTTGTTGATATATCCAAATTACACTGCATACTTCGTTTCGCTGAATATCGATTTATTTTCGAGAGAATCGATAACAACTGAATTCCACCAAAATTTGGCTTTTGAGGCTCAAAATTTCAGACGCATCTCAGAGGGTCGCATCAAGAAATGAAAAAACCTGGAAAGTACCAAATCTTGAAAAACAACATCAAAACATATGTTGATTGCAGGTTGACCATTTATTTACACAATCTAATTGAATTTACCCGACCTACTTCCAACTAGATTAAAAATAGGTCAAAAGTAGCCCGTGATTTAACTATGTGCTATACAAAATAATTACAACTATATAATTACAACTATTACAACTACAAAATAATTACAACTATGTGCTATACAAAATAATGAACCGGAAATCTGGATTTCGGAAGACGGAAGGTAGTTCTTTGGATCTCCAAAGGATTTTTTGTGGAAATGATTCAGGGCAATTTAAACAAATTTTAAAGTTGGATAAAATGCGCCGATTCGACGGTGTCGTCAATTAGTCGAAAATGTACATAAAACTATACTCACGCAAACTTAATTTTTTCACATTTTACGTCCACTACTGCTTATTTAACATAATGTGCTCTTACCTTCCACGTTTCTGAGGATTGCAGTCCTGAAATTGTTGCATCTCCCTCACAATAGCGATATTACTTGGAAGGATAGTGAATGCCTCCTAATAGTGATTGTTCACAAAGTGTATCTCGGGGTTTTTGATATGAGGTTTCTCTATTCCCATTTTGNGAAATGAAAAAACCTGGAAAGTACCAAATCTTGAAAAACAACATCAAAACATTATGTTGATTGCAGTTTGACCATTTATTTACACAATCTAATTGAATTTACCCGACCTACTTCCAACTAGATTAAAAATAGGTCAAAAGTAGCCCGTGATTTAACTATGTGCTATACAAAATAATTACAACTATATAATTACAACTATTACAACTACAAAATAATTACAACTATGTGCTATACAAAATAATGAACCGGAAATCTGGATTTCGGAAGACGGAAGGTAGTTCTTTGGATCTCCAAAGGATTTTTTGTGGAAATGATTCAGGGCAATTTAAACAAATTTTAAAGTTGGATAAAATGCGCCGATTCGACGGTGTCGTCAATTAGTCGAAAATGTACATAAAACTATACTCACGCAAACTTAATTTTTTCACATTTTACGTCCACTACTGCTTATTTAACATAATATGCTCTTACCTTCCACGTTTCTGAGGATTGCAGTCCTGAAATTGTTGCATCTACCTCACAATAGCGATATTACTTGGAAGGATAGTGAATGCCTCCTAATAGTGATTGTTCACAAAGTGTATCTCGGGGTTTTTGATATGAGGTTTCTCTATTCCCATTTTGTTGAAAAAGAAGGCCTATAATTACTTCACATAAGAGATCTTTGCTTAAATGTTAGTCTTTAACCGAACCACGAACGAAATGTAAGCAAAATTTTGCTGGTTCAGAAATGTGTTTCTCGTGGGCAGAACAATGCCTATTAATTTAAAATGAGATCTACTGAAATCGACAACTTAGCTAAAACAGAACATTGTACTGTGAAACACGTGGCTTCAGGAACTTAGGTCTTGTTTTAATACGAAACATTTCATGATTAAATGTATCATATTAAGTAACTGTATCATGGTATTTTATCATGGTATTTTATCATGGTCATTTATCATGGTATGACAAATACAACATTTGTGAAATCGCGTGCCAGTCCAAATTGTCAAAGTTTTCCGTTGGAATCCTACGGGAGATCTGCACTGGGCTTGAAGTAGATGTTTCTTCAATAACCTGGCAAGCGGAAGCAGCCCTATATATATTTTGCAAGAATTGGTTGAAACTTGTGGTTGTAAAAGTATGGACTAAATATCCAGTGCAAACCTTAATAAACTCCCCGCCTGCAAAAAGACCCACACCCTGTTGGCAAATCTAACGGATTACTAGGGAAGTGTTTTTTAGGCCGTCTATAAGAAGTCATTTACTTCTTAAATTTAATTAACTTGGAAGGATAGATTAAGCACATCATGGGCCGGTTTTTTTACTCTTTTTTGATAGCAAAATATAAATGTTAGCTTTTACGTAGTGGCCGGCATGAAAATTCTGTTCTGATCAGACAACAGGCCTTTAATGTGTCTTTACGCATCATCTACACTTTATAATATATTACC